TCTAACATTCTGTGATTCTGTGAAATTAAAGCTTGCTGACATCTACTGACAGCAGGGTATATAACAGCCAGATGTTCTACAAATCTCAGGATTTGACAAAGACATTTGGCACAAAACTAAGATTTTTACTTTGGTACCTACCTCACTGACCCTTTTGAAACTGCTATATAAAGTCTGGTAGAGCACTGGATAAAATAAGAGTATCTGGAGTCTCTTACGACGGCCTCTTAATAAACCAACTTTTCCTCATGAGACAGTTGCACTTTTTCAACACCTATTGTTATTCTTTTCTATCTTTATTCCGTTTACATCTCACAGCAGCAATCTAATAGTCAAGCCTACACCTTGCCTGGAACTTCTCTGAAAGACTACAGCTTCTAGAACGCAGAGATGTAAAATAAAGAATATTTACATTAGTGGTGAATGTACGTGCAAGCAACTCTTCTCGCTGTCGTTCCTGCTGCTCCCGGATGTAACGGCGATGTTGAAAGTTCCTCAGAGCTGTCTGCAGATGCTGAACATCGTACTTCAGCTGGTCAACTCGGCTAGAAAGGATCAACGACAGGAAGGCATTCCCAGGGATAAAAATACCATTCTTTTCTGGTGGTTTTTATATGAACAATGGAGTATTATCAATTAACAGCGATGAATAATAAAGAATGATGAGTTCTACTTATCTAGAAGATAACATTGAATGTCCTTTATTCAATGTTAGCCTGATATCCCACATTCAGATCTTCTGTGCCTTGTTTTTCTACTAAACAGGTGATTATTTAACTGGAGGCTAATGACATAATGTGAAGCAGAATTCCTGAGCTGTCTCGGACATCCTATCCCACGACTAGTCTCTTCAGGAGTTATATATATTCCTCACTTAACACAGATTTGGAAAGATTATAGAATCAAAAAATCATAGAATGGCCTGGGTTGAAAAGGACCTTAAAGATCATCTAGTTTCAACGCCCCTGCTGTGGGCAGGGTTGCCAACCCCTCGAGCAGGCTGCCCAGGGCCCCATCCAGCCTGGCCTTGAACCCCTCCAGGGATGGGGCATCCACAGATCCTCTGGGCAACCTGTTCCAGTGCCTCACCACCCTCTGCGTGAAAAATTTCCGCCTAATATCCAACCTAAATCTCCCCTCTCTTAGTTTATAACCATTCCCCCATGTCCTGTCACTATCAATCCAGGTAAACAGTCGCTCCCCCTCCTGTTTATAGGCTCCCTTCAAGCACTGGAAGGCCGCAATGAGGTCTCCCCGGAGCCTTCTCTTCTCCAAGCTGAACAAGCCCGGTTCCCTCAACCTTTCCTCATAGGAGAGGTGCTCCAGCCTCCAGGATTTGAATAGTTTCTGGGTTATGACCCTCATGCACATAAAAGATTAAGCTTTCAAATTTCATTAATTAGCATCATGTTCTTAAGCTTGAGGTTGTATTAAAAGGAGTTTAAAAGTCAGTGGGCAATACAGAAGACATCTCCAATGGGCTAAAACAAATAATGGCCAGAACTCCATTGCCTCTGATTAAATGTTCGACGACCATAAGGAAAGCCTAGATGACTATTTCAGATACTGACCTCTCTAATATAGGTGACATGAAATCCAATCCTGGTATCTACAAAGGCATTTTGGGACCAAACATTAATAGCAGAGTCACAGAATAAATTAGTACAGAAAGTCTTGAGGTCTCTGCTCCAACTTCCTGCTTAAACCAGTGCAAACTTGAGAAACCTGCGTATTTTAGTCACCAACAGCCGGGAAAATGGTCCAGAGCAAATGACACCAGCTGAAGCAATTTTACTCCTTACCTCCACAAATACCATTAAAAGCAAATGTCATACAGACTAGAATTTTTTTTAAGCATCGAAGTGCCATGTTCTGCTTGTCTCAGAACAGAGCTGTGAATCCAGCTCCATCACCAGTCTGTGGTTAAATACAGGAAAGTGATTTTGCCTCTCTGCCTCAATTTTGCTACTGTAGAGCACAGAGGTAAGTTATATAAAGTGTAAAGGTTTCACTTAAATTAAAAGACAAAGTGCTTCAATAAATGCAATTAAAATAACTACAAAGACAATGCTACACTATCATAGTAGAGAAGGTGAACTTACAGTTTAGCGTTCTGTCGCTTATTGGGAGGTTCTTTGCTGGACAGGATTTCCAGACGCTCCAAGTTGCTGAATATATTGTCTATTCTTGCCTGAATCTCATTTTCTACTACTGCAAGGAAATAAAAAGGTGATTTTATTTGAATTAAAGAACTGCAACCTGAACGAAGGAAAAAGCTCAAAAGCATTCAAACCAGCATTTAAAACCTGACAGATGCAAATCCTTACTGGATGAAAAAAAAAAACCCAGATAACCAAGAACCGTACATACCATGAAAAATCCACTTTTTAAACTCAATAATTTGAGACTCTTGCCTTTGCCTCCTCCTCTGAGGAGGGAGTTAGGAACACCCCTGCTCTTTGAAGATATCTGAGCCCCCTTCCCCTTCAGCTCCATGTATTAGGATCTAAAGCTCCCACATTCCCCCCTGCAGCCCCTTCCTGCTCCCTCAGCAGGATTTGCTCACACAAGCTAATAGCCAAGATGATTCTCACAACAACAATCTAAACCTCTGAAAGCTGTAACACTGAGTTCATATACACCATTGTCCTGGGTTCAGCTGAGACAGAGTTCACTTTCTTCATAACAGCCAGCAAGAGGCTGTGTTTGGAGTTTTGCTCAGAAGAAAGCTGATAACGGTGATGTTTACGTGGCTGCCAAGGTCTTTCAGCTTCTCTGGCTGTCTGCAAACAGGAGAAGCTGGGAGGGACCACAGCCCCAGTTACCAGCCCAGGACTTGATCTTAGGTTCAGGATTGAGACCCAGAGTGGCCAATAATCTATCCCATAACACACACGTCATGCCCAGGATAGAGGTGAGGACCCTCCGGAAGATCGGCCCTTTTTCTGGATTTCTTTTGCTCCGGGTCATCTCGCTCCAGGTGGTCACTCTCCCAAGACCTTCTTCCCCCTGTCTCGGTCACCTCTCAGTCTGGGACGCTCGGGCTGTTCTCTCTGTTCTGTGAGTGCGGTTTCAGGACTCTCCCTGCTCTGGGATCGTCAGCCGGGAACAGGCTGAGCCTTGGTCATCAGGTGGTGAGAGTATCACTGTGTGTCACTTATTTGTATATTTGTATATAGGATTATTGTCAATGTTATTGTAGATTAGTTATTAGATTGTTCTTATCTCACCCCACGAGTCCTTTTTTTCCCTTCACCCCTTTAATTCTCTCCCCCACCCTTGGAGGGGGAGAGGGTGAGCGAATGGGTTGTGTGGGGTTGGCTCCCAGCCGAGGGTAAACCCATCAGAACCATCCATACCTACAGCAGGGAAGATCGACAGATCATGGGAAGGATTCAGAGCTGGTAAGTACTGGCAGACCAACAGCTCAGAAAGACGTGGCCAAAACAGGGCTGAAGCCCTCGCAAGTGGGAAAACAAGGTTACAAAATAGTTGCCTCTGTAATCATCTGTGTTGATCTGTGTAGAAATAGCAGAGGGGCAATAGGACACAACGCAAACTCGCGTGTTTGTACTTTAATGAGGTGGGAAACTGATACAAGTGGGGAAAGAGAATCATGTGCCTTCAGTTACTGTGGTCACTGTGCAGCAAAACTCGGAACGAGCCACAACCCCCTTCCTCGTCGACAGCCCCGTTTTCGAACCATGTCACAATCCAGCATTTCACAACTTCAACATAAGGGTGAGAGACGGGAGCGCTACTAATCATCCGACATCCTTGTTTTTAAAGCAGGTCAGGTGTCAGGCTGAAGGTCCGCACCCTCCAGAGCATACCCATGAGGACAGAAGCACCGTCAGGTCCGTGAAGCCATGGGGACAGTCATGGTCAGACCTGACCATCAATAATCACCAAATCCTACAGACACTGTTCTGATTTTGCATTTAGACAAAAAAGTGTTATTAACCAACTTGCTAACTCCTCCACAGTATCTCAGGACTTTCCAGAAAATCACATTCAGCACAACTTGGAAAAGCAAACAGCACATAAAGCTCCTTTTCTTTGCCCTTTGATCTCACACCATCAGAGAGTAACTAACTCACATCTATAGACACAAACCAACCCAATTGTCCTAATTCATCTCTCCATCATTTACTACAGCTAAACTGAGCAGAAAAGCTACCAGGAGAGCAGGCAGAGAATTACATCAGCTTTTGCTAGCCCAAAAAAGAGCATTACTGTCTTGTCACGTTACGCTTTTCTGAGCAAGTTGGAAAAGGAAAGCTGCAACAGAAACTCTGATTTCCTGGCTCTTGTTCCTGTTCTTTAGCCAAAAGATAATCCTTTTTTTCTCATAAATTCTGAAATACACAATAATACCTAGAGCACATATCTGTATCTTTATAAATACATATAAACAGTATGTTCATTTATTGACTATGTAAGATTATACATAATCCTAACTCTTGAAAAGGTCTTAAATAGCAGAGGCAAGATGGCAAATTATGCTAATTTTCCAGAGGCTCCAAAATCACATCCAGTGAACAGCAACCCACGAAGTCTGGCATTGTACTAGGAGTAGTACAACCACCACAAAAAAAATGGAACAGTAGACAAGTCGTTATTTTTGTATAGGAAAAGTTATCACAGCCCTTTCTACACGCTTAAAAAAAAATATTTAGGGTAAGAGAAGTCAGTCAACATGTACACAAATGTATCCAGTCACTGCAGTGTGCTTCCACTGCAGAAGTTTCTGATGAGACCCATAAGCAATTACTCATGCAGGTATTAAGGCTTCAAACACAGGTCCAAAATACATTTGCCAATTCTGCACTGGGGTAAAAAGTCCTGCCATGACATGTCACAGGATTTTATTACAGTCATTTTATTAGCAGGGGGTTATAGTCCAGAAGTACTGAAGCAATTTCAGACCTGGCTGTTTTACATATTTCTCATAAGGAGCTGGAATTACAGGTTCTGACTCTGATGCAAGCAGGAACTTTCAGAATCATCCAGCTGAAATTCCTGCACAGCAAATCCCAGCATTTTCCCCAGAAACTGGATTAAGCATCTTTTGGCGAATACTGCCAGTTAGTGGATGCTTAAGGAACAGCAAAATAACAGGACAGGTATACGATGACATTCCTCAGCTTTTGAGATTCTAACAAACAAGCCTGGTGATGTCCTGAATTTGCAGTTCTGTCCACACCTGTGTGTTCATTATATCTCCATGACCGCGTCAGTGTGGGGTTTTTAACCTGTTTATGTTTCAGGCCTCCACAGCATACCCTGACAATGAGTTCCAAAATCGAACAGCACCAAAAAACATTTGGCATTCCCATATCAAGACACTGTAGAAACATCCACAGTAAGCGGTATTTGCCAATTAAAGAATTACAACAGGAAGGTGATTTGAAGTCAATTCTTGTTCTGTCTTTCCCACTCTGTCCTTCACAAAAAAAATCCCCTTTTTCAAATCAAATAATAAAAGAATTTTAACGCATTCCAAACTGGTGATGTGTCTCATCAGTTGATCTCAATGACTGAAGAGACAGATTTGTTCCAGTAACGATTGTAAACACAACAATAAAGCATACAAGGTTAAAGACCCAAGCTAAATCAAATCTTACAGGAGGGGGACTTTTCTCTCTAATTAATTACTTACAGTGTACTGACTCTTTGTCTGAAGTTTCCAGGCGCCCCATGTAAGACTGGACCTCATGGACTTGCCTATCAAAAGACAGAGTAAATTAACAGGAGAGGTCAGTTAACATTTATCAAAAAAACCCAAATAATTTTTCAAGACCTCAATTTTCAACTTCTTTTCCTTTAAAAGTAGTTTTTAGAACAGAATAGGAATCAGATGCATGGTATTCAGTGCAGACAGCGCATCACTGAACATAAAACACAAAAAACAATCCAATTCTTCAGCATGAAGAAAGCTGTGCTTTCACTTAGTATCTACAAAATAACTTTCAGTTTAAAACAAAAATCAAGGTGAAAGGGCTTCTTTTTTTTCCCCTTCAAAGATTTCCAGTCCAGTTCTAGCTCCCTTTTTGTATTTCTAACCTGAACTAGGGCTCTCCCCAGCATCACACATCTGGCACGCTGAAATCCGTTAAGATGTACCTACTTCAAGACAACCATGAAGATTTCAGATTCACGGTAGAAACTCAGAAATGGTGAGAACAACAGAGGGGAGATCCGACTGGGAGAAGAGTTGGTACAAGTGAGATCTTACCAAGATCTGCAGTGAATACTACCTGCATACACCACAAAAGGCAGGAGTGCCGATGAGACACCACGACTTAATGTCACTGCATAAAAGGGTAGTGCCCATCTTCAACACTGAACACAGGTTTTGTCCCTCCCTTCTCAAAAAGAAAAAAGCAGCACTGGCAAAGGTTCAGAAAAGGACAATAAGGCTTATGAAAAGTACAGAGCTGCTTTTATAGAAGAAAGTTGTTCAGTCTGGATGGGAGATGATAGTGCGGAGATATCCTACAGCATGAACGGCACAGGAGAAGGTGAATAAGGAATGACTTTCACTGTCTTTTACAATATATGAATTACAGAGGCATCAAATGAAATCAAAAGATAGCTTAAAATTGAAGAGAAGGAACTCCTGATGCTGGACAAGCAGTGGCAAACAACAACAACAGAAAAAAACCACTGATGGGCGTTGTTAAATTCCTCTGCTTCAAGAAGCCCCCAAGCCTCAGATTTCTGGGAGGCTGGGACAATATTCAAGTAAAGTATCGCATGTGTTTGCCCATTTCTTACTGTCTTTCCTAGAGATCTGCAGCTAGACAGCGCTGAACATCTACTGGGACAGGTGGACCTTCGGCCATACTTGGTGCGAACAACCTCACGGCAGCTGGGATTCGGAAATGTGCTTTAAAAGTTACAAAAATATCATGACCTTTTACAAAAAATATTTAAGCCATCATAATTTTCATCACATTAGTGACTCTATATGTACCGTTTGATAACTACAACACAAATGTCAACGCAGCCAGACCTCCGAAACCAATTTACTTTACAGAATAAGAGAATATTTATTCTGCAGTTATTATACGAGATTTTTGAACTACTTTCCAAAACATGACATTGTGATGCTAAAGAGATAACTGAGTATGTCATAAGTACCATAATACTCAGAATTAACTAAAGAACCAATTCAATATGCAGTATCTTGCAACCCATACTTGTTCTACAGTTTTGTTTTCAGTTTCTCTAGAACGCCCCAGACAGTTTGAGCGTCATATTGCTCTCAAAATGTGCATTTAGAAACCCAGGTAAGGAGCCAAATCAGATCATGGATCAGAAAAACTTCCTCACCCTCACCAGGACTCTTCCCATGCCAGAAAACACAGTAAGTCTGGGGAAAAGGCAGGAAGAGAGTTCAAAAATTCAGAGCATCCCCAAACTGACAAAAAACTACAACAACACAGCTCAGTGACTACAACTCCCAGAGATGCTGTGGATGCCCCCTCCCTGGAGATGTCTCTGCCCACGGCAGGGGGTTGGACCGGATGATCCTTCAAGGTCCCAACACAAACCATTCTACAATCACAGAATAAGGAAATCTAGAAAAAGGAACAAGATAATATTCACCTAATCAATAACAGTTACTATTATGGGTAGGCATTTCTAGATCAACAGCAGGATTTCCAGCTCTTCCTCTAGATCATTATTTAATAAAACTCTTTTATTTACCACCCTACCTCCTTCAACAGAGCTCAACAAATCAACTCATCACCACTGAAATTCAGCATATTTGGATTAACTGTCTCATTTGGCCTCTTTCCCCCCCATTATTCCATACCACACTGAGCTCCAAGATTTTGTGCCTTATTTGTGGTTTGCAATTTTCACACCATTTCTCCCTCACCAGATCATCACCATCTGTCACACAGATAGAGGTTTTGATTGCCAAGGAGCCAAACGTTTCCCCAGGTGGTTTAAATTCATAGAATCATTAAGGGTGGAAAAGACCTCAAGGATCATCAAGTCCAACCCAACACCACCTAACTCACTAAACCATGTCCCCAAGCTCCACATCCACACGTTTCCTGACCCCCTCCAGGGATGGTGACCCCACCACTGCCCTAGGCAGCCTGTTCCAATGCCTCAGCACTCTTGCAGTGAAGAAATTTTTCTAATCTCCAGCCTAAACCTCCCCTGGTGCAACTTGAGGCCGTTTCCTCTTGTCCCATCACTCGTTCCTTCAGAGCAGAGCCCAGCACCCCCCTCACTGCCCCCTCCTTTCAGGCAGCTGTAGAGAGTGTCTCTGCTAACAATCTTGACCCCCCCCTGCCATAAAAAGCCTACTAACTTAGCATGCCTGGAATGTCTGTACATTTAACAAGGCAGAATCCCTTCTTTTCAGCGAATTCCTGCAATCCTGAGCCTTACAACCCCGGGGCGAGCAGCTGTGCTGAGTTTCAGCCTAAGAGCAAGCTGTCACCC